ACGCCATTCTCCTGCCTCAGCCTCCCGAGTAGCTGGGACTACAGGCGCCTGCCACCTCGCTCGGCTAAGTTTTTGTATTTTTAGTAGAGACGGGGTTTCACTGTGTTAGCCAGGATGGTCTCGATCTCCTGACCTCGTGATCCGCCCGTCTCGGCCTCCCAAAGTGCTGGGATTACAGGCTTGAGCCACCGCGCCCGGCCTGCGGTTTTTTTAATATGAGTTTCACACATCTGAGTAAGTGGCTTGCAGACAGAGAAGTTAACAACTTTGGCTGTCAGTTTGTACCTGTGATTTGTGAATACCAAAAAGACAAATACAGAATCTAAGAAAACACATAACAGTCCTGTATACACACAGCAGCTGGCAGCCCTATTCCCAGTGTGTCCCATGTACGTACCTACCATTGACCTGAAACCCAGTTCATACATGCTAATTGAACATTTTGTAGAGCAGTAAATACACATCATCACACAGCTTCCCTATTCATTTTTATTTTTATTTTTTGAGATGGAGTCTTGCACTGTCACCCAGGCTGGAGTGCAGTGGCGCTATCTTTGCTCACTGCAACTTCCGCCTCCTGGGTTCAAGCGATTCTCCTGCCTCAGCCTCCCGAGTAGCTGGGATTACAGGCACCCACCACCGCGCCTGGCTAATTTTTGTATTTCTAGTAGAGACAGGGTTTCACTATGTTGGCCAGGCCGGTCTTGAACTCCTGACCTCTTGATCTGCCCACCTCGGCCTCCCAAAGTGCTGGGATTACAGGCGTGAGCCACCGCACCCGGCCTTCATTTTTATTTTTTGACAAGTCTTTCCATTTATTATCTTTACTTATCCCTCCAAACAGTTAATAAGCAATGTTTTCAGTAGGAAAAAAGAATTACGGATAGGAGACAAGCATAATGTGTCCAAGGTTCCAGCACAGCCAGTCTCAACTTCATTCTTTGACTTCTCAGACTTTTGCTCAAACTTCACTATAAGCTTGCTTTTTTCCCCTTCACATGTCGCAGATTTCTGTAGGACTATTTCTGCCACTTTTTTTGAATAGCAGTATAATCACTGTTAGTCCAAACTGCGCGGTCCTGTAAGCCCTCTGCCATTTCACAGACCTCGGTCAGAGTGAAGCACTCCACGGAGTGGGGGCCTTGAGAAACATCCTGACCAACTGCCTGACTTTCTTATCACATCCTGCTGGGAAAAGGTCCAAGGGAGGTCACTATCACACCCCGCCGGAAAAAAGGCCAAACTGCCTCAGGAACATCTTTTGAACATCCGTCAGCCGGGCGCAGTGTAATCCCAGCAATTTTGCAGGCCGCGGCGGGCGGATGGCCTGACCAACATGGTGAAATCCTATCTCTACTAAAAATACAAAAAAATTAGCCCGGCGTGGTGGCACGCACCTCTAAAGCCAGCTACTCAGGAGGCTGAAGCAGAAGAGTCGCTTGAACTCCGGGAGGCGGAGGTTGCAGTGGGCCGAGATCATGACATTGCACTCAAGCCTGGGTGAAAAGAGCGAGACTC